CCCCCCCCCCCCCCCTCGAAGTTCCCCCCACGCAGGTAAAAGTGAGTTCTTATCTCGAGCCATATGTCTCGACCACACGGCGCTCATTCTCCCCGTCTGGCTCTAATTTTTTTGTCATGCTCAATGTTTTCTACGAAAATAAAATGTGGGCCCTTCTTATTGGCTTTAGACCCGCGCTATCGATCCGTCGGCAATTATGATTGCAGTGACACTGATAACGCGGGATACAAAGCTCACCTCGTTCGTACTCAGGCTGATACGGGCCGATAAAGTGAACATCGATAGTCCTCCTGATGACAGTATTGTGCGTGGGCGTGTGCCGACGGGGGTAAACTGTATCGCTGAAGCAGGTGCTGCAAGCCTGCTCAGCTGTTGCTTCGACCCACGCACACGTACACCAGTGGCTTGTGAAGAACCACTTATCTAGACCCTCGTACGTCAAATCTCGTGCCCAAATACGATGTTATACCGGAGTTAAATCAGAAGCCGTTTTTTTTTTTTTTGGTGATTAGCGGAAGAAATCGTGAAGTTTTTAATTTCGTGGGACATTGTACGGAATTTCGGATTTTAATTTAATTGAAAATTCAGGAATATGCTTCGGGGGATGATTGAACGGAATTTTACTGGTTTTATCGATTTTTAAAAATAAATTGTGAATTTTCGGCGACGGAATTTTTTAAGATAAATGTAGCGGACATTTTTGTCTGAATAATTTTGAAAATTCTTGAAATGGTGGTCTTATGAGGATGGTGACTTCAATGCGAATGAATAATCATGAGATCTGGTTTTTAACGGCTCGTGGTAACAAAAAATTGCGTTTTGTTGTTCGTTTTTTCTTGAGGAAAATTGAAAAAAATTTGTGTTGGAAAAAAATGAAATTTTATGGACATTTTGTTAAACCTAAAAATCTGAAAAAAATTAGAAAGTCTACTTCTAGGGAAAGGTTGATAAAATAATTTAACAATTGCAATTTGTGAAAAGCATTTTCTACAAACAATTTATAAACAATCACCTTTCCACCATAAAAATCATTTGTTCGGAATTGTAAAAAATTGATTCACGTCCAGAATTTCGCCAGAAATCAATTTCCTGCCTAAAAAAATGTTTCCGAAACTATAAACAATTTCCATAATTTATCCATAACCAACGAACGCCGAAAAATAATAATTCTGTGCAAAATGTAATTTAACTGCCGCGGAAAATCTTTCCCACGCAATTTAATTGGCAAATTTGATGATTAAAAATGGTTGAATACCCAGTGCGGTCCGTCTAAAAAAAAATCATCACAACCAAGTGAAACCCTCAAAACTCAGATTTCTCACCAATAATTTTCCAGCGTTTGAAGCGATAATTCCACTAATCTCAACTAACCCCCAAGAAAGAAACTTGTTCCACAGTAGCTCCCCTATCGATTGCAACAGTGTCACTCCTCGTGTCTGCACCATAAATATTAGATGCCACGCTTCACCGGCCGCTAGCGTCTTGACTACTCGCGGGGTAATAAAAACCCCCGCGAGTGCGACAATGCAAGGGCGTCACTGTTACTCCGAATGCGGCGATTTGCGAAGGGGGAATATCGACAGTGGGGCTGACACAGACAGGGAGCACTGAATAATAAGATGGCCAGAGGAAAAAAAAAGCATTCCTCGGTTTATACTTGGAACCCAGCGCAACAGTAGTGCTTCGTCACACGTACAATTGAAAATGAATATGTGAATATGCACCAACTGGCTCTTTTCTACCTCCCCCTATCTTGTAATACTTTTTCTTTTTTCTTTTCTTCGCTTAACTATTGATCCCAGGTACGAGTGCATCACCTATCTAGAAGCTGCTTACCAAATAAGATATTTAGAGGCGGTAATTTTCTTATGGACGGTGGCTCCTTGTGCGTTCGATCACCCTTCTAGCCCTGGGGGAATTAGGGAAGAGCCGAAGGTGGACGAAAATTATTCGAATTTTGTCGGGAAGATATTTCGAATTATAATTAGTAGCACAGTTACCATTTCCAAATTTTTCTCTATTCAACCGTTTCGTTTCTCATTAATTGACTTATTTTGTGTCTAGATTTGAGAAAAATTTGAATCTTTGGCGACAAACACGTGAATACAAATTTCTTGTTTGCAATTTTTTTATTTAAATAATAGAAAAAATTTTTATTAGTAATCATTATTTTTTTAAATATATAATAAAAAAAATGAAGAAATAAATATTATAAATTATAAGTATATTTATTTATTCATTTATTTATGGATAAATATGTCGTTTAATTTGGCTGAAGGCTCTCGGGCGATGGCCCATTGTCAGAAAATTATTTTTTGTGTATTTTTCTTGAAATAAATTTCGTTAAAAATTAAAAAAGTTGAATATGTCTTTTAAGAATTGAGATAAAATTTGAACGTTCACTGAAAATGCGAAATTCTTGAGCACCAGAAATACAAAAATACAACTCACCTGAATTTCTAATCAAAGAATAAACATTCAGTACAAAATTTCGCTAATTTTTCGATTAATTGTGAATTTAAGAATCTCTTCGCCTGAATTTTATCATTTTCTATCAATTTTTATGGAATAATTGCACTGAAATTTTAAATTTAATGAACATTCAATGGATTTGTCAAATTTTTTAGCAGGAGAAAGACAAGAATTGAAACGAAATAAGAATATTCAGAAATTAAGTTGAATTTTTACTTAATTTAAACTAATTAAAATAAATTAACGGTTTCCAAAAAATTTTCCGTCAAATCGTGAATGTTTAATAGCGAAATAACTTGAAATTTCGCTCACGGCTAAATTGAACAGAAAAAATTATTTCCTCGGCACCAGTAAAAAATTTTCGATTGAATTTTCCGTGGCAAATCCTGGAAAATTTTTTCGTGTTTAATTTAATACTCCATTGAGTTTCTGTTCGAATGATTTGAAAATCAATAAAATACTTGAATTTTCAGTTAAACTATTCCGTAAAAATTCAGAAAAATTCAGGGACAAATTGAAAATTCCTGTCATTTTGTTTCCGAATATTCGTGTTCCATTAAAAATTCAATGGAGTTGTAAAATTTTCATCTCTCTCGCACTGAAAACTCATGAATTTCTCCGAATTCGCCCTAAAACTATAAATTCCATAACAATTTCCCCCCAAATCCTATCCAAATCCCTCTCACGAGAATTACGATCCCATTTTCCACGAAATTTCCCAAAATTTCCACCACTGTATAAAATAATTTCCCCCAATTTTCTGTTCACCTAATGAAGACAACAACCTTCCGGGTATAGACACTGGGTCGATTAAACCCGGTCGATTTGGGTTACCATTGCGTCCGCAAACAAATGATCGATGTTACAAAAAAGAAGTCATTCATAAATAGACCATTGTTATTTTGTTGTTGCAGGCGGTACATAATTCGAGACAACGACAAAATCGAGACGAGGGAGCGAGGGGCAGCTAGCCCTTTGGCGAGCTCGAAGGATGCAGCTCCCAGGCGGGAGCACGAGCAGTTCGCATAAGCGTTCAAATACGTGTCAATCATCGACACACGTCACTATAAACGACAGCAAATTAAACATTAAAAAACCACAACAGGGAGTTAATAATCTACCAAACTATAGATGTGGTAGTTGTTGCAACAGTATCGGGAGTGAAAGTGGGAACGGAAACGGCACTGGTCCCGACAACGATTCTAAACCACTGAAGAATCGCAAACGCATCACTAGAAATTATCACCGATACAGAAACATCGTGTATCGACACCAACTGAGGAGCCAAAGGTGGAAATACTGGGATAAAGAATAGTGAATGGATATTATTTTTATTGTTTTTATTTTACTATTAGTGAAGTACGTTGGAGATTGAGGGGTGTTTGATTGACAAGACGATAGCAACGATTACGAAGGTAAAAAGCGGAGGTAAAGTGAGGAGACAGGAGCGCAAGGAGAGAACCAAGAGAACGAGAAAAAAAATTGGTGGTAGTGGGTCAAACAAGGTGGTTGCGCTGGCGGACCGAGTGGGCTAATCTAATTATCAATAATTATCAATTGGACCAAAGCAATAAATACTAATTACCTCCAAAAAAAAGCCATCACCATTCAAGACGGAGGGGGGAAGCCCGAGGAATTTGAAGCGAGAGGGGAAACGCATCCATCGACATCGAGATTCTTTACTCCAAAGTAAGGAGAAGGAGCGGCAAAATAGCCGGTAAGAAGGTGGGGAGAAGCCGCGCGCCGCACCCAAGTAGGGGGGGATAGGGCAGTGCGTCTGGTCTGGGAAAGGAATACCCCAGGAAGATATTGAGGTGGCCGGTGGAGGGGGGACCGAGAAACTCCGTGTTGAGAATTACTACCATAAACTCAAGCCACGAGGCAAGCTGTTCGAGTGAATAGGGGAGGGGTGACAAGGAGCCCTGGCGGGGAGGGGACGCGTAGGCCTTCGGGGGGCCGACCAATCAGACGGCTGATGATGTCATCGGAGGAGGAGACCGACTGTTTCGCCCTCTACGGAGCAACCGCGGATAGTAAGCAACAGCAACTCCTGAAGAAACAGAAGCGCACCAGACAGCGCGTGGACGCTGGTGAGCCGCGCAACAGTTACTCTAGTATACCAAACTTCAGTTCACGTCCAACATTTCTTGGTAGTGGTATTTACGGTGCTATATTCAGTGGTACAGGCCCACCAACTAGTCATCAACAATCATCACCACAGGGACAAACACCAACATCACAGCAACAACAACAATCACCACAACTCCAGCAACAGTCTGGAGCAGGAGGTAATCAAGGTCACCTCGCAACAACGACGGGGCCGACCACACAGCATTCTGCCCACGCGGCATTTGGCTTTTTTGGGCCACAGAGTTTTGGCCAAGCCAAGATGCTTAACGAGCTCCTTGGTAGACAGGTCAAGCAGGCCAGTGACGCTGGCGGTTCACCACCAGAGGGTAGTCACGGTATGACAGGTGCTGGTATGGACCAGACGACAAATTTACAGCAGGGTAGTGTCGTTAATTGTGACGATCCTGCTGCTGCTGCTGAATTAACGCAACACATGTTGCGCGATATACTCCAGGGAAGAAAACTTTCAGCCCTTGCTGTACAGGAACAACCAAATAATAACAATAGTATACACAATAATAATAACAATACGACAGTGGAATTATTGAAATCGCAGCAGCATCAGCAACAGAGCCCAACGCAGTTACATCAAAATAGTGATAGTGCGCGGGGTATAAGTGGGACAGTGCAGAGTGGAGGGGAGGAGAGTGTTGATGGTAATAACGTTAACGCGAATCATAGTGATCGGGATACGGTGATGCCAGGTGACGCTGAGGACAGTGCTGAGGATGCAGCATCGGCTGCGCGCGCCATGGAAGAGGCCTTCGCGGAGGCTGGCATGGAGCCTGGTGCTAATTTAGATGGTTCTGATTGTGAACAAAGTTTACCACCGAGTCCGACGGCACAGCGACCGTGTTCGGTGACAGTTAAAGAGGAATTGCACGACTCGATGAGTTTGAAGAGGAGTCGATCATCGAGTCACTCACCCTGTCCAATTTTACCAAAGACGGAGACGAGCTCGCCAACGACTGAGATTAAGCGCGCTCGTGTTGAAAATATTGTCAGTACAATGAGAAGTAGTCCAGCATTGCAGCCAGTTAATGGTTGTAAAAAGCGAAAACTGTATCATCCACAGCAGCAGACAGTGCATCATGTTATACACCACAGTGTTAATGACGCTATGCTCGATGTGGATGAGGACGACAGTGAGGAGGAGGAGGATCCTGCAACGATAAGGCAGAAGAGAGAGGAGAAAGACAATCTCAAGAGTCAATTGAAACATTTGCACGAGCAGCTGGCGGTGATGCAGCAGAAGTATCACGAGCTCTCGAGTCGTATGGAGCCAGAGAGCAGTGAGAGCGGTGAAGCGCCAGCGAGTCCACAGAGAGAGGCACAACAACCGCCTCCGCGGCCGCCAAGACCCCATCCACCACCATACAACAGTCTCCCATCACTGCCACCTGATCATCCACACGCAACAGCAGCAGCAATGTATCATATGGGCCAGAAACTCTACCTCGAACAGCAGCATGCCGCCTTGGAGCGTATGAAGCAGCATCAGGAGGCAGCTGTCAGACAACAGGCGCAACATCAAGCGCAACAACAGCATCGCGATAGGGAACATTTGCGTGATTCACACACACGACAACAATCGCCACAACCAACGAGAGATATCCAGGATCAGAGTCGAAGTAATACGGGACCACTGACACCCCAAACACCCCAGATGCAACAAGCTGTTACGCCACATCAGCACAAGGATTTCCAAGAAAGACTGAATGTGTTTAGGCCTGGTGCTAGTACAACGGGCTCAACGGGTACACACGTTACGGAAGCTGACCTTGAGAGTTTAGCAGATACTATGAAATCCGAGATAACCTCGACCCTTAGCAATCTTGTTGACACTATTTTCGCAAGGTTTATGCAGCAGAGGAGGTTTCTCGGTAAACCCATTGAAGCAGCACAGGCGGCCGCTGATCAACTCAACAAGGATTTACTACTAGCGAGCCAAATGTTGGAGAGAAAATCACCGAGGACTAAAGTGGTAGACAGGGGTGCACCTCAGTCGAATAGCGGCCCAAACGGGCAGCGGGGGCCCCTAAACGGCGGCCCCCCACCTCCACAATCAGCCCCATTTTCCCAGATTGGGAGTCTCAGTGGTGGTCCACATGGCCCCCTGTCTGGCCCAACGGAAAATAATCTCAATCAAATTAATCAATTACCGCCACACGCAAGGCCGAGTATTGGCATGTTTCAAGCACCAAAGCCACCGTCGATATATGCAATGGCATCGATGCAACAGCAGCAACAGGCGCAACAGCGTGAACAACAGGCGCGCGAACAGCAGAGAGATCAGCAGTACTGCAATATGAGGAGTGAGGACAGAGAAGCGAGGGAACTTGAGCAGAACGAGGCTCTCTCGCTCGTGATGACACCAAAGAAGAAGCGTCATAAGGTAATTATCAAAAAGTTAATCAAAATCGATCGCTCAATTTTATCCAAAATATCTCGATTACTCATGTTAATACTTAGTTCTTCAATTCCCAGGTCACCGATACGAGGATTACACCCCGTACGGTCTCCAGAATTCTAGCACAAGAGGGTAATGGTTCACAGGGTGGTAGTGAGAGTCCACCACCGCCACCTCCGCCAAGACCCTATCCTGGGCCACCTCCAATGCTGCCTGTATCGTTACCAACCAGTGTTGCGATACCAAATCCAAGTTTACACGAGAGCCAAGTGTTCTCACCTTACTCACCATTCTTCAATCCCCACGCGGGTGATCCTGGCCAAATGCCACCATCGCTTCATCGCGCTGGTGCACCACGTCATTTACCAGCGAGTCCACCCGGTGGTGGAGTTGATCTTCGCGACTCACCACCCCTACCTCATCCACCAGCGATGCTGCATCCTGCGCTACTCGCTGCTGCCCAACACGGAGCTAGTCCGGATTACGGACATCTGAGAATGGACAGCAATGACAGAGGTAGTGACTGCAACTCCGGCGACATCAGTTACGACGGAATTCAGCCTACAATATCCTTTTCTAATGCTTTGTCAGGAGTGCATAATTCAGCACTTGATAGTTTAGGTTTGCAACAACACTTTTTCCCCCCTTTTTTGCGGAGAGAGAGACTTACTCAGACTGAAGTTGTTTGATGGGGGGGAGAGGGCATAGACGAATGTTAGATTAGTTCGCGACGGAGTTGGGCTAACGCGAATAGGGGTTTAAGGGGGCAGAGGGGGAGGAGGTGCATACGAGCTGGAAGTTTCATACGAGAACAAGGCTGCTTTGAGTCTATATATCGAAGTTCTTTGGCTCTCGCGTTCACTCTCAGGGCTACTCGCGCACAGAGGCTTCTCCCTAACAACTTGGCAAGCCAATAATCTGGCCGTGTGCAGTTTAAACGGAGAAAATAGTTCGGAGGGGGGTTTTTTTTGTTCAAGTGAAAATCCGGAGAGAAGAGACTGTTCAAAGTTTCATGAATCCTTCACTTTGCCACCGTTCATTGCTCTTTGGTTTGGAAATAGTAAAAATAATATTAAGGGAAAAGACAAATGCAGGTCTCCGGGGAGAGCAAATTGTAACGACAAATTTCTTTTTTTCACGATTGTTCGAAGATTAATCACTCGTTGCTATTTAAAGCCGAATGGAAATGGAAAACTAAATTCATTTCAACGATTCGATTCACGCGAGAGGAGTGCATCGTACGTAAAAAATGGAAGGCTTGGAGAAGAGAGAGACAGAGAGTTGAGGAAAAAAATTATCGAAAGGGGAATGTGGGAGGGCTTGCTCGATCGGTAAAGTTAGAGGCAGGTCGTGTGTGATAGAGACCTACAGCTACAGCGGAAACTGCATGGTGGGCATTGGATCGGTGCACTAGCGTTCTTTGCCGCCTTTTTAGTTGGAGCCTTTGATGTAAAATCAATGCACGCTCTCCTTTTTGTTTTTCCAACCCATCATTTTTCCATCCAGCTTTCTTTTGACTCGTATCAACTGTGTCTCATTCATTTCCATCATCTCACTGGCGTGCGAGGAGTCCATCGATATCCGAAATGTTTATTCCTCGCAGTTAACACCTATCAGGTTCGGAAGTCGTTGAAATTTTGTGGTTGTTTTCGGGGGAAAAGACAGAAGAAAGAGCAACGGGATTAAACCGAATAAGAATTCAATGAAACCACAGTAGAATATCCCATTACAAGTAAGAATAGGGTTTTTGAGTAAGGCTTCAATTGAGGATGCGGCCAATCGTAGGTCAATCTGAGGTCGTATCCCCCACGTATCCAACAATACCTAAAACCTTGTACGATTTCTAATCCAATAACGAACAATCCAAGAAAACAATACGATTAAGTCTGAGATTTTCCACCTCAACCTAGAATAAACCATCGATTTGTCGAATGCATTTTAGTGAAAGTAACAGAGATATACCGTTGTGATCCTTAACCACAGTGAACTCGTCGACATTGACGCCGATGCATCTGAGGAAAGCCAAGCTGATGTTCTTCTGGGTGAGGTATCCGTCCTCGGCCGTCCTAAAGATGTACTTCCCGGACATTAAATTCAACAAGAACAACACTGCTCAGCTGGTCAAGTGGTTCTCCAACTTCAGGTGAGTAACATTTCACATTCATTCGCATGTTCATTTGAACGGACACCAGTGCCACTCCCACACGTGTCCAAAAGTTGGTACAAGACGTCATATCTCCTGGTGTCTTTTCACCGAATTGTCCTCGGATATCTAACAACTCACCAAGTACGTTATCATGCAAAGTGGTAACACTGGTCAGCTCTGACCACACCCCCATTGTCCCACGGAGCCACATGAGACGTTGAAAACATTCAGGGTGTGTCCCTGAATCTTAATTACCACAAGCCAACTGGTATATAAGTAAAACGCTTGTAACTCATCCCCACGTCTAACAAGTCAGACACACTCGAGGTCATCTGCCCTGAGTGGGTGGTGCAGGTGGCTGTTGGGATACCTCCAGGCCTAGCCAAGTCGACCACTGGGCATTAGTCTGATTATAATTAGGCTGAGTACGGAGAGATGGCCAGATACAAGGCGATACCTTCAGGATCGTACATTATCACGTTTTTCTTATCACTCCGTGCCTAAAGTTATGAACCGCGTCATCACTAATTTATCGGTTTTGAATAGCTCTTTATGACCTGGACTTGATCGTTTTCTTCATTTTCTTCCCTTCTTCATGCAACAATTCGTTATCCGTACATCCGGAGTTGCTGCAGCGCGTGCCTGATCTGATATCCTAATGCACGACTTCCTATACGGAAATGCCTCGGACATTATGCTACGCTCACTCCCGCGTGTAATATTGTAGCATTCCTTCTGTCCAATATTGTCTCCGTACTTTAGTCACGACAGCCCCATTCGGGGGGCGCTATTCTAAATCGAAACTCAGCGTTATTTTTAAATGTCGTATACCTTTCGAGAACTTCATCAACTCGATGAATCATTCATGTCCGGTTAATAATTTACGGTCAATTGTTTTGGGATCTCCTTGATGACTAGTCGTAGACCTTCTGGTAGCGTTTCTCACGCTTTTCGAGGGGGACAATTACCGTCGTCTTATGGGGCTGTTCACGTGCTGAAGCGCGGGGGTTTGTTCGCGTTTACAAGGGACGAACAGCGCACGCTTTAGCGTTATGAGGGCTGATGAGACAAGAAAGGGGGGAGTCCTGGAAATGCGGAGATATTGAAAGTGTCCAGCTAGGGTTAGTTTTTGTTATCTGATCTCCTACCGACACGCGACTTGAAAATTCAGAGGTTATCTATCAGGATAGAAGGAATTTTATGTCGTATAATGGATAATACCGCGAACAGCGCAACTGGACGAGCACGAAATGCTCATTTTTCTTCGATCCGTGAGGGGGCTCTCGTTGTCCCACTGGACTGTGTTGTTGAAGATATTTACTAACTGAAAATTACACGGTACTGGGATGAGAATTGTTCCTAGGAATTCCGAGTGCAGGATATTTCATTATTAATGCCACCCCTAGTCGTCTATTTTCGGTGTTTTGACACACGCGAGGATGAGCAAACCCTGGGCTTCTTTTCGCCTCGTAATTTCTTTTTCTTATCAGTTAGGAATGATCAACACCTCGTGCAACATAACATTACCCTTGTACAACTGCTCACCCCCGCTAACATCAGTTCCTCAAATCGCCGCACCCTCAAATGACGCGGTAATTTTCTAAACGCAAATTTCCTTTTTCTGTTATCATCAGACTCGGTCTAAACACGTGACCAATCGTTAAACATCTAGATAGCCGTCTTGTTTCTTTTCCAGTCCGCACACCTTCGTGTCTCAATGTACAATGGTTTTTATATGAAAATAGGGGACAACATGCACGTTCGGTCATTTTCAGTATTGTCACTCGGGACAATCGACACGCAAACTATGGATCTTCAATTATTAAGTAGCCTTCGAGTTCCATTAGACGGGCGGGAAGAATTGCTCGGGGGGGAGAGCGGGCTTGAAAATATGTGTCAGTGTTGGGGAAATTGCAGTGTAGTTGGGATTGAATGCGATGGGAAGCTCTCCCGAGAATGGGAGAGAATAGATGCATTTGAATTTCATTTCAGATGAAATCGTTCGCAGGGTTTATTATTCGTCTTGGAAATTCAGGGGAAGAGGAGTTTTCTTGGGGAAGCGATCGGAAGTATTTCAGTGGTTTGCAGGACAGTTGGAAATTTTTTTATGTTGGAGTTTCACTGAAATTTCAAGGGATTTCGTCATTGAAGATTTCGGCATTTCATGGAAAATAAATGAAAATTGGGAATTTCAGTTTAATTATTTCATGAAAATTCAAGGGAATTGGAGAATTATTGTCTTCAAAACGAATTGAATGTCATTCTCCTGAAAAATTCATGGAAAATTTTATTTTCAATTTTTTTCCAACAATGTAGAATTTTTAAATTTATTATAAAGATTAAACAATACATTCAATTAATTCTTCAGTAAATTAAAAATACCAAAAACAAGTTTCCTGTATTTTCAATAATTTTCATCATCACATGAACCTCAAAATCATTATTCCACTGAATATTCTACAATTTCACTGATTTTTAATAACAAAGACAATGAAAATTTCATGTGAATTAGTCACTGTTAAAAATAACACCTAAAACATTTAACGATTAATTTTCACCAACTAATTCATCTAATTTCACCAACAATACCCCCAATTTCAATAAATTTCCAACAATACAGTAGTCAAAGGAAGAAATACCCCGTAAAAAAAATAAACCCCACGAAGAACCGTAAATCGTGCTAATTAACTCCATAAAACGCTTGCAAAAGAGATAATACCACCACGTATTCTTCCAAAAGGACCAATTAAAAGAGTCCCGGGCAAGTTTACTGAAAATCTTGAGAGTACAAACGACCGGGAGCATTAAAAAAAAAAAGAAAACGAGAGAGAGCCGAGAGGCAAAAATCTCCAGCACACATGGGCCCGCACGATGATGACGATGATGAAGGAGTATATAATAGGGAGAAGGTAGGAAAAAAACGTAAAAAGAAAAATAAATAGGAGAAAAAAAAATCCCGCGACGTCGCGTGTTCTTCGGGAGGGGGGAGGGGGCGGGGGTTATGATGTGGGGTACGTGTGCTTTTTAATCCCACAAGATTGTGTGTACTCGAGCTTGGGAGGCAGTTAGGTTGCCGTTGACGGAAAGAATAGAAAGACCGGTGGGTGGAGGGCTGGGCTTGTACAGAGAAGCGAGGGCCATTTAGCAAAAAAAGTCTCTAGCTGGCTTTCCACACACGCGTGTGCGCCTCATATGTACACACGCGATGCGTTTGAGGCAGAGGGGGGAGGGGGAAATTCACACAAACGTCATCTCGTCATTCGAGGCAGTTTTCTCGTCATTGTTGGGTATAAGCTGGTGTGTAATAACCACCCGAGGAAATTTTGTGCCTTGAGGTAAAGAGTTGGCAAAGTTTTTTCTATTTTTGTTTTCGAGCCCTTGTTGTTTTTTGCTCTGAATTATTTAGTGCAACGGCCACGTGACCGCGGTTTCAAGTCCATGGGCTGGGGAGATGATTGGTGTTGGTGAATTTGTAGGTGAATTTGAGTGGTTGAGGATCTTTTACTGCTTCGTAGATTATGAAAATTGGAAACTTATTATTAAATTCATTGCAGAACGAACATTATGTTCAATTAATTAATTGTAGATTCAATCATTTGTCATTATCTAATTTTTTAATTAAATTGTGTGAGAAAAATTTGAAAATGAGAATTGTTTTTTTTAATATTCGGTGGTTGGAAATACATAATTGTAATTGTTTAAACTTTTAGGCGTGATATAGATTTATGGTAGAATTCTGAATGTGAATAATTTTTTTGATTCCGAAGAAATGATTTTTATGGTGGAGAAATTATTGTTTATAAATTATTTATAGACAATCCTCGGAATTTTTTTAAATTGCAATTTTTGAAGTATTTAATCAATTCTCGGTAAAATATCGAGAGTAAAATTGAAACCTGCAAAGGTTGAATAATAAACGGGGCTCAAAGAAAAGCGAGAAATTTCACTGGCGAATAAATAGCCGAAGTAATTGGATATCCTTAAGGAATAAATTGAATATTGTATTTATTGATGAGAAGGCTAGCTGCATTTTTTCACAAAAACTTCAAACTCGTTCAATTTTTTGAGAATTTAAATTTTTTATTTGAGAATGCATTATTATTTAAAAAAATGAAATTTCGTGGACCGTTGATTAGTAATTTTTCGGAAAGTAAAATTGATTTAAATTTGGGGGAAAAATAATGAAATTCAAGAGTTTACTGAAAATTGAATGAAATTCCAAATTGTCCTATTTACTGGAATTTCCTTAATTTCCATTAATTTTCAAGGAATAATTGAACTGAAATTCCCAATTTATAATGATTTGTCCAGGAAATTTTCAGTTCTCCCCTACGAAATTTCTTACAATTCCAGTAATAAAAATCCTCAAGAAGTATATTTATTTATTCCATCATATTTCCACCCTCTCGGGTCTTTGCATTCTGTTCCCTTCCCTTTAATACTCAATGCAGTTATAAAAATACCAACAATAATTTATATTATGTTTTCTCTTTCGCAACAATCAGGGCAGTCGATTCTGTGAAATTACGAATCCCACACGTGTCTGACGTATGACGTTATCACTGACTTTTACATCGCTTCATTGAGCAATGAATTTTATTTAAACCGCTGATTTTTATTAATAAAAATTGAAGAGGCGGATGTTTCAGTGGGACCCACACAGTTGCGATCTTTTTAACGTATCTCTTGAGGTTTACGCGGAGAATGAGGAGTGGATAAAGAGTGGAGTCTTGACGAAATGAGCAAGTACGAAAGTCCTTTGAGACAAAAGGATTGAGAGGTGAAAAAGCCCGGCGGGGGTACTGGCATGAAAAGGGGAAGGCTTTTTTTCGGGGAATGTGGAGGGACTGAGACGGAGACAGTCGAGAGGCTCTTGGTATCCGCTGAGATGCGTCTTCTTCAACTTGTCGTGTTTTTTGCTTTTTTTTTATTTTGAAAAGACGAGGAAGAAAAAACCCGGTGATGAAAGGAGGACTTTGAGTCTTTGAGATTCGTCC